TCCGACCTTTAGCGGGGATTAACTTTCTTCAACACGCATGAACACATCACACACACACCCACACCCCCACACACACACTCACCCACACCACCTCCACACACACACACCTACACCACCCCCACACACACACTCACACCCACACCACCCCACACACACACACACCACCCACATGCACCCCCCCACACACACACACCACCTGCACCACCCCCACACACCACCTACACACACTCACCTACAGCCCCCCTCCCCTCCCCACCACACACCCCCAAAACGCGCGTAACGCCTTATCATAACAAAGCCCCTAATCACGTGCATTCAACAGCGTTAACTCAAAACTCGTAATCTACAGTACAGTACATACGGACCACCGCAAACGTAAATTTAGTAACCCTGCGGCTCTTGGATATATATCTTAACATACATGCGTTTAACAATCAAAGTCTAGGATCTTATGTGAAGGGCAGTAAACTTCATTCTTATTTTGATTCTTTCAGTATTTCAAACCTTCAGGGAGTTCAGTGTCTCTCGCAGTTCATCACAACACTGCGCGGGAAGAGTAACAATAGAGAGGGGGAAAAGCCTTGAGCAGCAGGAGGGAGTCAACACTAAACACGGGTCATATTCGGTGAAGTAACAACACCTACTTCCAAAACGACCATTAAATATCGTGAGTTTACCTCTGTATTTTTTTTTTGGGGGGGAGAGGGGGGTGGGAGGGGGTGTTATTAATCTCCAATCATTCTGAATATCATGAGGTCCCCTTTTTTATTAATCGCCAATCATTCTACTAATCAAGCTTTGTCACTGACCATAACTCCGACCATTAATCTCCACCATGTAACCTGTAATTAATATTAAAAATGAAAAATCTATTACACAATAACAAGAACTAATGAGGGGGCGTGGATTCTCTCCCCGACCCCTCCCGACCCGGCAAGCTGGTGGGGGCCAAGATTGGGAGGGTGGGGGAGGGTGGGGGAGGGAAGGGGGGTGAGAAAGGAAAGACACAGCGGTGGAGGTGGGGAGACGTACAGTACGTTGGCATGGGGGGACAAGTAGTATGGGTACAGGTAGTGGGGGTACAGGTAGTGGGGAATAGGATGAAGACAGCGGGATCGTAGGTAATGGGGAGAGAAGTTGGAATGAGGGGGCCGGAGGTGGTGGAGGGTGGGATATGAGATGTTGGAGAGAGAGAGAGAGAGAGAGAGAGAGAGAGAGAGGCGTCAACACTATGCGAGATCGGACAGACAGACACACAAATGAAATGGAACGGATGAATCCTGGATATACTGGTAACACACACACACAGAGGGATAAAAACAGACAGATGGAGAAACAGACAGACAGACGCAAGACAGTCGGAGGAGGCAGGGCAGCTCCACGTCCGTCTCGAGGGCCAGGCACGAATTTGATGACCTTCGGATAATCTTTGTATTGCCTCACCCTCTCTTTAATTACTATCTTTATAGTTACGCCCCGGTCATCTCCAGCCCGGCCCGGCCCGGCCCGCACCGGACTCTGGGCCCCACACCAACCAACTCACCCCAATAATCCTAACATACGTATTAACCGGATCCGACCCGTCGCTTTTATCCGGAGCGTGTGCCGAGTGACCTCCGGACGTCAGCCGGGTGTATTAACCGGCCACATTATCAAGGTTGGGCACACACCGGTTTCAGATTCACAATAATGGCGCAGGTAATAAATTCTTCTTTTAAAGCCACCATTAAATCTGCAAGCCAAATATCGCACACAGTCTGGCCGGCTTGTTGAGTGTGTGTGTTGAGGGTGAGGCAGTGTTCGCAACATTATCATAATTCATCATAATAGACCTTAGAGAATGCTGATGCAGGGATAATTATTCTGCCATGATTTCATTGACATGACTAACCTGAGAGAGAGAGAGAGAGACCTTTAGCGTTTACGAAATTATCTCGGCTATTGCACACGCCCGCCTTCAACACCACAAGGTGAAAGTCTATTAACCCTACCTGTACTTGTAGTAGGAAGTCTCATTAATAGGGACGACCAGGTGAATCTAAACAACGACAACAGCCCAAAGCAACATAACTTCCACCTGTCTCTGTCGGAGGGGGGGGGGAGACAGAGGGAGAGAGAGAGAGAGAGAGAAAAGATCAGGCGAGAAATGCCACAAAGCTATTATTAAACTCTCAATCTTAGGCATGATTAAGGCCAGCTTCATAACAATCACACCTTAATTATAAAGTACAGACAGCCACTTTGCCTCTAAACCCCCCTCCCCCCCCCCTCTCTCATATTACAGTGGGGCCTACGACCACCTGCCACAGCGAGAACCGGAGCTGGTGAGTATTAATAATTATAAAAACAGCGGAGGTCAACAGCGATCTGTCAAAACAGCCGGCCAACACCCACCATACCGACGTTTATACTCCACTACAACAAAAACATCAGACAACGCCCACTACCCAACATTTCAATATACTGTTCGCAAACACTACATGTTGCTGAGTCATTACAGTGTTTCAACAATTACGGAAAATTATTGGCAATAAAAATTCTTGATTACATGATAAGCAAATGTAGAAAAACCTTTATGAAACTTAACGAAAGACAAAGAAATATACTTCCAGCTATATATAAAATCCTATCTTATTTATTTATATATACGGATTATGAAGCTCGGACCAAAAACACGAATTCTAATATCAATATCTTACTCAGCCAATTTATTCTGTACAATGATAATTTAAAATATACACCCCCAGACCCCTCCCCCAACACCCCCGAACCCCCTCCCCCAACACCCACAGACCCCCCTCCTCCAACAACCCCCAGACCCCTCCCCCAACACCCCAGACCCTCCCAATACTCCCCAGACCCTCCCCAACACCCCCAGACCCTCCCCCAACACCCCCAGACCTCCCCAACACCCACAGACCCCCTCCCCAACAAACCCCAAGACCCTCCCCAACACCCCAGACCCACTCCCCCCCGCCCCCAGACACACATCCAACACTCGTTTATGAAGGAAAACTCCAAGATAGAGGAGGAGGGAAGGGGCGGTCACACAGGTCAGGCCTTGAGGTAAACACTTTACAAGATAACACACTGCCAACCCTGTAATATACAAGTCCGAATTCCGAGACATCACCTATCCTCACCCAACACTCAAGCTAGTGTTCTGATTTTGTCCCTCAGGCAGAACCAGAACCTTCAAGAACTCTGAGTGGTCACTTGAACAGAACCACCGTCCTGATAAGGTGGAATTCTGATTTGTGTCTTAAGCGGAAGCATTTCTCGCCTTCTTGAGTGGCCATTCAGAGTCATCCCTTGAGCAGAAGTATTTCCTTAAACTAAAATGTCATCCGCTTAAACTGAACCAACAACCCCTTAAAATCAGGTATTCAAGACACATCCCTTGAGCAGCACTTCTTGAGCGCTCCCTCCCAAATCAACATGTCACTGACTCACTGTCTTCCTCCTCCTCTTCCTCCTCACCTCCCCCTCAACACTAAAAAGATTCTTTTTTATACACGGTCTCCTATCATAACTAAAATACATTTTCTGAATAGCGAATCAACGAAAGGAGAACAATGACGGATGTATCGAAGTTGTGTCAATGGCTACTCACACAATTGAGGCAGCCACTCAAGTCACGGCTCAAGGGCTCCCCCACCACCTGTTTAAATTAAGAGGAAATACCCAGCGCACCACATTCTCAAACATTCTTACCTCAAGTCTGTTTCTTTCACTCCATTAAATGAAAATTTACTTATGATTCTCGCCTTAAAATGAAAACTTACTCATGATTCATCCCTAAAAAGAGACCTTCCCAAAGATTCGTAAGTTTATAGCATTTTCTTCCCTTAACTATTCAAATAAAGTCTCCGGGTAATTTTGACGCCATCTTTGTGTATAGTAAGTTGAGGGACCTATTAATAAAAAAAGGCCCGCGTGTAGAGGAATAAACAAACGAAAAAAAAAAGAATCCACGCTAAGAATCTCCAAGAATCTGGGTCGCCGTCATGATGGAGGTTGATAAACAGATCCCTAACTTACGGCGTTGTATATATAAGTATTTATGAAAGAATGTAAACTGAATAGAGGGAGGTGAAGGCCAGCAACTTCTTCCTTCTCCTCATAGATATTATATACCTTAAACACTGGTAATAGTCGTTATTTTATTTTTAATTTACATAAATGTGAATCATGTCCGAAATAGGTCAGAGGTACCTGAAGAGAGAAGAAATGTGTGTGTGTGTGTGTGTGTGTGTGTTATGTACGGAGTAGCGTGGACTGCTATGCCAATCCCTGATAAGATTACTCAGCGAATATTAAGAGTTGATGTTCAGTATATACAAGTTTATATTGTAGAGCTTCCGTATTAGATAGACAGTGTGTAGGTGTGTAAAAACCAAACCAAAACTTAATTATAAAATTGCCAAAGAGAAAAAACATTCTAATCAAAAAAGAAAACAAAAAAAAACGAGGATGTTTTTGTGAGAGAGATGCAGGGAAGTAAGAAGTCCAAGTGGGGTACTAAGACTCAAGTGAGCGTCCACCAAAAAGTTCATATGACAATATTGACACAGTTAAGTCCAGCACTCTGATAGTGACAAAGCTAAAACTGGTATATTTTTGTCCCTTTTTTTTTTTTTTGGTGAGCACTTAATTGTCAAACAATGTAGTTATGACGTCAACACAGCTTCCTCCTCCACAGCTACAACATCTCGTCTTTTAGACAACTACAAAAAAGTGTTGTCTAAATGAGCAGCATTTCGAATCAGTTGGTTGTAAATTGGTTTTGGAATCCTCGACTATTCCCCACACAAGATTCTCCCGATTACCTCTCATTTGGCGGGAACACTGCTGATTGGGCAAATTTTGGCGGGTAAACCGAGCCAATCCAAGGCAGGCACACCAGGCCATTAGGAGATAAGTGTGCGTGTCTTAATTTATGTTTCGGTAGCTGTGAGGGGGTCGATTTGTGTGGTGACGTCATAGCCGTGTTTACTTACCAGCCATTGAGGTGCCCATCCAGTGGTGAGAAGACTCCAGCAGCTTGGCCTATGAAGAGAAGAAAACAAGAAATTATAGACAACAGTTATACCTCAAGTCAATACCATCAAACGATATAATTTACCAACATTATCTTAAATGTTAAAGGAAAAAAGAACAAGTCATAAAGGGATTATATCATAACTTTTATTGCTATTTTTGTCGATAATAATGTACACAGGTAAGTTTATATGAGTTAAGTGGAAACACAACAGCAATGCTACAGTATTGTTCAAGCTACTTTTTGTGTTATTTTGAATATAAATTCATGTATAACTTTTGCCACACCCTATAATTACGAGCCCAGCTGTGTATAATCCAGGTGTGCATAATCCAGGTGCGTGTAATCCAATAACCTGACAACAAGAGCAACAACATTATCTCCAAAATATAGTCCACGTCATGGGATGTATTCATTAGGGTTAAACAAGGGATCACCCGAAGATTACTAGGCGCCCAAACGCTTACCTAACCCTCCCAGGTATGGTTAAGGTGTTTAATCATAAGGTGAAATAAGCTAGGGTGTCTAATCTTCAGGTGATCCCTGCACATTTTGGTCACTACAATTTTACACCGTCATATGGGTAATCTACAGGATCTGGCGGTAGTTGGTGATAAGGCGCCTCAAGTTCCACCATCCTCTATAGTAGGTAAATGATAACAGCTCACCTGAACACTTGTTATCTTAGGAGAACACACAATCACCGCCCCTCTACTGATAACAACCAGCGTTAGTTTTCCATGTGCAAAAGAAATGACTTGTGTGTGTGTGAGTGTGTGTGAGTGAGTGTGAGTGTGTGTGTGTGTGTGTGTGTGTTGATTTTTTTCCGGGGCTTTACCATGTGTAGGGGAGGGTGTGGGAAGGAGGAGGGGAGGGAGCGGGGGAGAGGAAGGAGGAGCGGGGAAGAGGAGGGAGGGATAAGGTCAAGGGGCATAAGAGAGGAAGGGGAGGTGTAGGGGATTGGATAAGGGAGGGAGAGGGGGATTGGACAAAGCAAGTAGAGGGTGGAGTAAGAGAGTGAACGAGGTAGAGAGAGAGAGAGAAGGAAGGGGGAGGGAAAAGGAGGGAAGGAAGGGGAGGGAAAAGGAGGGAAGGAAGGGGAGGGAAAAGGAGGGAAGGAAGGGGAGGGAAAAGGAGGTGGAGGGAAGAGTAGGGAAGGGAGGGGAGGGAAGAGTAGGGAAAGTGAGAGGTGGGGAGGGGAAGTAAAGAGAGAAAGGGGGAGGGGAGAGGAAGGAAGAGAAGGAAATGGGATGGGAATGGAGAAAAAGGAGAGGAGGGAAGAGACGGGAAGGGAGAGAGGGGAAGGGAGTGGGGTGGGGGGTTACAATGTGACGGGCATTTCCTCTCCACACATAAAAACAGCTGTGTCGGTGACGTCATTGGGTCATGTATACATTTCCACACATTATTGTAATTTATTATCAGCCGAGTGTGTTGTTTGTCCGAGTGACTGTCATTCTTGCCAGCGGTAAGTGGGCGAGGCTGGGAGAGTATTATTATTATTATTATTATTATTATTATTATTATTATTATTATTATTATATTATTATTATTATTATTATTATTATTATTATATTATTATTATTATTATTATTATTATGGAGAAGCCGATAGATTATTATTATTATTAGTAGTAGTAGTAGTAGTAGTAGTATTTTTACTATTATCGATGACCTTGTTATTGATGGGTGATACCAGCTTGTGTAAAAAGACAAGGACGAGGTAAAGCACATCACATCACATCCGTCACAGCATATCACAGCACATCCGTCACAGCATATCACAGCACATCCGTCACAGCATATCACAGCACATCCGTCACATCATATCACAGCACATCCGTCACAGCATATCACAGCACATCCGTCACATCATATCACAGCACATCCGTCACAGCATATCACAGCACATCCGTCACATCATATCACAGCACATCCGTCACAGCATATCACCGCACATCCGTCACAGCATATCACAGCACATCCGTCACATCATATCACAGCACATCCGTCACAGGAGAATGAATGAATGAATGATATTGGATTGTGAAAGAGTCCGTATTTTAGCGGTCACAGACTTCGATGAATGAATTACAAAATAAAACAATGTTGGGGTGTTTGTTGTGGTGGTGATAGTGGTAGGTGGTGGTGATAGTGGTAGATGGTGGTGATAGTGGGTAAAAGCATAGTAGGTGGTGTGTGTGATATGTGATAGTGGTAGGTGTGATAGTATAAGGTGGTAGGTGGTGTAGGTGGTGGTGTGTGGTGGGTAAAAGAGTGTGTAGGTGTGTGATAGGGTAAAGAGTAAGTGTGTGTGGTGGTGAAGTAGGTGGTAGTATGGTATAGGTAGGTTGTGTAAGTATAGTAGGTGGGTGATAGTAGGTGGTGATAGTGGAGGTGGGTGATAGTAGATGGTGGTGATAGTGTAGGCTGTGGTGGTAAAAGTATATAGAGAGAGATAGGTAGGTACTGGTGATAATAGTAGTAGAGGAGATGATTGTGGTAGGTGGTGTTGGTGGTATTGGTGACAACACTCATTAAACAACAAACAAGCAAACAAATAAACATCAACAACAGAACAATTAATTCGTTTAGTGTTTGGTAAAAAAATTATCCTTAAGAACACCACAAAGAGTCCTGCTCTCTCCTTCCCTCCTTTCTCCCCACCTTCTTCCTTCATCTTCCTTCCTACCTTCCCTTTTCCTCCATTCTCACTCTCTCCCATCCCACTCACCATTACAATTCTCCCACCCCCTCTTATATGAACCAAAACTTGTCACAGGTAAAACTTAATCAATGCGAAGGATTACCTGAGATAAAGAGGTCACAGGCGACACGACAAACTAAATGATAAGCGACCTTACAAAATATATTAGTAGTGGAGGAGGGGAGGAGGAGAAGGGAGAGGGAAGAGGAGGAGGAGGGAGGGGGGAAGAGGGAGGAGGAGGGAGGGGGAGGAGGAGGAGGAGGAGGGGGGAGGAGAAGGGAGAGGGAAGGAGAGGGAGGGAGGGAGGGGGGAAGGGGAGGAGGAGGGAGGGGGGGGGAAGAGGAGGAGGAGGGAGGGGGAAGAGGAGGAGGAGGGAGGGGGGGAAGAGGAGGAGGAGGGAGGGGAAGGGAGGAGGAGGAGGGGGGGGGGGAGAGGAGGAGGGGGAGGAGTTAGGTGACATTCCCCAGGGTTGGTTGGGCCTTATTTACTGTACAATAAAATTATATGCCTTTATTCTGCCTCAGAAGGATAACACTTTTATTTTTGTAGGGGGGAGGGAAGGAGGGAGGGGGGGGAGGGAGGGAGGGGGAGGGAGGGAGGGGGTGAGAGGGGTGGGGGATGATAGAGGGAGGGGAGGTAGAAAGTGAACAGAGGGGAGAAAGAGGGAAAAGTCTTTATAGTTTATAGGGAGAGGGAGGGAGCTTAGGAGGAAGATGGAAGACAGGGAAGGAGATACATAAGGAAGAAGAGGGAGAATGAGAGACCAAAGGAATGAAAGAGAGAGGGAAGATGTGAGAGGAAAGAGGAGGAAGATGTATATAACTGAGGGGGAGAGGAACGAGGAGAGTAGAAATGTGTAGAGAGAGGAAAATAAGAGAAGGGAGACACGAAACACAACAAAAAGATAAGAAGAAGAAGAAGAAGAGAGAGAGGGAAGGAATCAACAAGGAAAGAAGAGGAGCACATAAGAGGAAAGGGGGTAGGAGAGGAGGGGAAGGGAAGAATCATGTGGGAGGGAAGAAGATGGGAGAGGAAGGAGGAATTGCATGAGAGGAGGGAAGGGAGAAACATGTTAGTGAAGGAGGGGAGAGAGATGGATGGAGAGGGAGGGGAGGGAAGAAGTAAGTATGAAGGAAGGGTAGGGAGAGTAGAAGGGAAAGAGCAGTGTGTAAGGGAAGGGAAAGGACGGGAAGGAGCTGGAAAGGGAGAGGCAATGTATCAAAGATGAGAGAGGGGAGACGCAATGTGTAAGGGAAGGGGGGGGAGGCTAATGAATGAAAGGAGAAACAAGAACGAGAGAAAAAGGAGGAGAGAGACAAGACGATAAGATGGGGAGAGTAACAGGTGGGAGGAAGGTAGTAAATGAAAGGAAGAGAAAAGAGGGAGAATATGAATGGAGAGGAAAAAGAACGATTGGAGGAGGAAGAAGAAGAACAGAAAGAGGGAGAGACAAGAGAGAGGGATCAGAGGACGACGATTATGACAGAAGAACGAGGACACGAGAAAGAAGATGGGAAAGCAAGAGACTGACGGAAGAAGAGAAAGAGGAAAATAGAGAAAGAGAGGAGGGACAGAAGAAGAGGAGGGAGGTTAAGTCGGATTACTGGTTTCATTAAATTTAATTTTGTTTCGACATATTAAAACTTGTCAATTCCATCTTTTCAGAAACAAGCAGCAAAAACCACGACATTTTTTGAACAGCTGATGAGATGGAGGCAGGGAGTGAGGGTGAGAGACAGTGGAGACAGATGGGGTGAGGGAGAGGAGGTGATGGATGTGGGGGAGAGGAGGGGTGGAGATAGTGAGGGGTGATGGGGTGAGGGAGAGTGAGGAGGATGGATGGAGGGTGATGGGGTGAGGAGAGGAGGGTGATGGGGTGAGGGAGAGGAGGGTGATGGATGTGGGGAGAGGAGGGTGAGAGATAGTGGAGGGTGATGGGGTGAGGGAGGAGGGTGAGAGATAGTGAGGGGATGGGGTGAGGGAGAGGAGAGGGTGATGGATGTGAGGGTGATGGGGGGAGGGAGAGTGAGGTGATGGATGGGGGAGAGTGAGGGTGAGAGATACTGATGGTGATGGGGTGGGGGAGAGTGAGGGTGAGAGATAGTGAGGGTGATGGGGTGAGGGAGTGAGGTGGAGGATGGGGGAGAGGAGGGGTGGAGATAGTGAGGGTGGATGGGGTGAGGGAGAGTGAGGGTGAGAGATAGTGAGGGTGATGGGGTGAGAGAGGTGAGGGGTGATGGATGAGGTGAGAGTGAGGTGGGGAGGGGTGATGGGGTGAGGGTGAGTGAGGGTGGGGA